CCTCCCGCAAAAGCATGCAAAAGCCGTGCGCTCTTTAAAGGGGCTGCACGGCTTTGCGGCTTTTCTAGGAGGTGGGGGGATTCCCCCACCTCGCAGAAAAGCCTGCAGGAGCAGCGCACCCTTTTAAAGAGCGAGCGGGCTCTTGGGGGCTTTTCCCCAAGGAGGGAGAAGGGACTGACTGGCCGAGTCAGTCCCTTCTCCCTCCTGCGCGCTTTTGCGGGAGATGGGGGAATTCCCCCACCTCCCGCAAAAGCAGGCAAAAGCCGCGCGCTCTTTAAAGGGGCTGCACGGCTTTGCTGGCTTTTCTAGGAGGTGGGGGTTCCCCCACCTCGCAGAAAGCCTGCAAGAGCCGCGCAGCCTTTACAGAGCGCGCAGCTCTTGGGGGCTTTTCCCCAAGGAGGAGAAGGGACTGACTGGCCGAGTCAGTCCCTTCTCCCTCCTGCGCGCTTTTGCGGGAGATGGGGGAATTCCCACCTCCCGCAAAAGCAGGCAAAGCCGTGCGCTCTTTAAAGGGCTGCACGGCTTTGCTGGCTTTTCTAGGAGGTGGGGGGATTCCCCCACCTCGCAGAAAAGCCTGCAAGAGCCGCGCAGCCTTTACAGAGCGCGCAGCTCTTGGGGGCTTTTCCCCAAGGAGGAGAAGGGACTGACTGGCCGAGTCAGTCCCTTCTCCCTCCTGCGCGCTTTTGCGGGAGATGGGGGAATTCCCCCACTCCCGCAAAAGCAGGCAAAAGCCGTGCGCTCTTTTAAAGGGGCTGCACGGCTTTGCTGGCTTTTCTAGGAGGTGGGGGGATTCCCCCACCTCGCAGAAAAGCCTGCAAGAGCCACGCAGCCTTTACAGAGCGCGCAGCTCTTGGGGGCTTTTCCCCAAGGAGGGAGAAGGGACTGACTGGCCGAGTCAGTCCCTTCTCCCTCCTGCGGGCTTTTGCGGGAGATGGGGGAATTCCGCCACCTCCCGCAAAAGCAGGGAGAAGGTCTTGGAGTAGCGCACAGGCTGCGTGCAGCCTGTCCACTGCTCCCAGAGCTGGGGGGGGGGTGGAATCATATTTTTTCCTTGATTTCCCCCCCTGAAAACTAGGTGCGTCCTATGGTCCGGTGCGTCCAATCGTGCGAAAAATACGGTACTCTCCCACCGTCAAGTATGAGAGCATTCGGCTGATGCTCAAGATTGCTGCAGAGGAGAAACTGCATGTTTCCCATCATGACATTAATACAGCTTTTTTGTACGGGGTTTTGGGGGAGGAGCTGTTTATGCTTCCACCTGATGGAATGCAGATACAGAAGGGAATGGTCTGTAAACTTCGGAGGTCCTTATATGGTCTCAAGCAGAGTGCCAGGTGTTGGAACACAAAACTCACTGAGACATTGCTTTCTCTGGGTTTTCACCAGGGCAAGGCTGATCCGTGTGTGTTTGTCAAGGAGGAGGGGCAAAACAAACTGTATTGTTTATGTTTTGTTGATGATCTTCTGATGTTTTGGAAGAATCAGGCTTTGTACCAAAGCACCCTAGCTCAGCTAAAGGAGCACTTTGACATGAAGGATCTTGGTGAGGTATCCAACTATCTCTGCAGGTGGAGAGGGACCGAGCAGGTAAATTTCTGGTACACCAAACACAGAAAATTGCTGATGTATTAACCAGGTTGAATTTGGTTGATGCAAACCCAGCAGACACACCGATGGTGACAGGTTACCAGGTAGATAGTACTGCTGAAGTGTTTTCTGACACTATGCTGTACAGATGCATTCTAGGCAAGTTGAATTTCACTGCTAGATGTTCAAGACCTGACATAGCTGTAAGCACTAACCTGATTAGTAGACATGCTAACAATCCTACTGTTCAGGATTGGAAAGCTCTGAAGCGCATAGCCCGCTATTTGAAAGGGACTTTGCACTACAGGCTGAGGTTCACCAGTCAGAAGACTGGAGGTCTTGAAATCTTTGCAGATGCAAGTTTTGGAAGTGACACCACAGATGGTACTAGCACTTCTGGAGTATGCTACATGTACAACCACTGTCTGTTTGACTGGCTGTGCAGAAAGCAGACAACAGTAAGCCTAAGTTCCTGTGAAGCAGAACTCAATGCACTGTCATTTTCACTCATGGATTGTGAATGGTTGATGCAACTGTTTAAGGACATCGGGGTTTCTGTGAAATGTCCTATACAAGTGTATCAAGACAATAGATCCTGTTTGGCTTTGCTGAACTCAGAGAGTTGCAAGCAAAGAACCAAGTACTTGCAGATTAAGCTACATCGTGCAAGAGAGTGTATTCAGAAAGGACTCATTCAGGTGTCCTACATGCCAGGAAATGAAATTCCTGCTGATCTGTTGTCTAAGGTTGTTAACAGAGAACAACTTAAGGTTTATGTACAGAGGTTGCAATTGGGTTGAACCACAGGTACTACAGGTTACACGGAAAGGGGGAGGATGTTAGGATATTTCCGTTCCACCTTAAAAGGGAGAAGGCTTTGTGAGTCACAGAGTCTGCGTATTTCCTGTTCACAGGATGTTTTCTGTTTTGATAGAGCTGTTGTCTCTCTCTGTGCCTGGACACTGAAGCAGGCAGTCATGTTTTTTCTTTGTTCTGACCAACGCTGAATAAACTTAAACAATGCTCTCCTTAGTGCATCTTTCGCTGTGCATCTTATCTGCTGATAGAGCGTGCATCAGCTCTGGAATGTGGCAAGCTATTTCTGGAGCTCGTGTCGCTAATTGCTGATACTGCGTGTCTACGGGAGATCGATGGACGTCTGGAGGCGACGTGGAGTCATGATGGACTTTGTCTCCCTGGCAGTATCCCAACAATCTAGTCCAGCCTCCTTTCCCTCAGAAGCAGCTTGCCAGCAGGACCTGACAGCAGCAGCCCTCTGCTGCTCTTGGTGCTCAGCGACTGGCAGGCCTGATCCTGGATCCAGCGCATAGCCTTAATGATTAGTAGATATGGATAGACCTCTCCTCCACAAGCTTGTTTAATCACCTTTTAAAATTTAATAGATCAGCTATTCTCTGAGTAAAGGGACTTTAATCTTTGCTGATCAGGATCCCAAAAAGCCCCCCTGCACCAGAGCCAATAACAAGATGTGGCACTGTCCCTAGGCAGTTGAGATTTGATCCTTATGAATTCTAATGATTTGACCTAATCTGACTAATTGGTGGATCAGAAAAATTGAATCAATTAAAAAAAACCTAATCCTGCAGATTAATGGAATAGAACAGACTAATGAGTGAATATATGTAAAAGTGACACAGACTTGAAATAACAATCCACCAGTTCCTAGTTGTGACTTTGCAAGACATCGTGCTGGTCATATACTGTGATTGGGTTTGGGCTGGGTGTTAATCAGTATGCGGATGATACCCAGCTCTACCTCTCTTTTAAATCAGAACCAGTGAAGGTCCTGTGTGTGTGTCTGGAGGCAGTTGGAGGATGGGTGGCAGCTAACAGATTGAGGTTGAGTCCTGACAAGACAGAAGTACTGTTTTGGGGGGACAGGGGGTGGGCAGGTGTGGAGGACTCCCTGGTCCTGAATGGGGTAACCTGAAGGACCAGGTGCGCAGCCTGGGAGTCATTTTGGACTCACAGCTGTCCACGGAGGCGCAGGTCAGGGCAGCTGTCTCCCAGCTCCATCTGGTACGCCAGCTGAGACCCTACCTGCCCGCAGTATGTCTCGCCAGAGAGGTGCATGCTCTGGTTATCTCCTGCTTGGACTACTGCAATGAGCTCTATGTGGGGCTACCTTTGAAGGTGACCTGAAAACTGCAACTAATCCAGAATGTGGCAGCTAGACTGATGACTGGAAGTGGCTGCCAAGACCATATAACGCCAGTCTTGAAAGACCTACATTGGCTCCCTGTATGTTTCCAAGCATTTTTCAAAGTGTTGGTGCTGACCTTTAAAGCTCTAAATGGCCTTGGCCCAGTAGACCTGAAGGAGCATCTCCACCCCCATTGTTCATCCCAGAAACTGAGGTCCAACTCCGAGGGCCTTTTGGCGGTTCCCTCACCGTGAGAAGTGAGGTTACAGGGAAGCAGGCAGAGGGCCTTCTCGGTAGTGGCACCTGCCCTATGGAACGCCCTCCCACCAGATGACAAAGAGAAGAACAACTACCAGACTTTTAGAAGACACCTGAAGGCAGCCCTGTTTAGAGAAGTTTTTATGTTTGAAGTTTTATTCTGTTTTTAGTGTTCTGTTGAAAGCTGCCCAGAGTGGCTGGGGAAACCCAGCCAGATGGGCAGGGTATAAATAATACATTTATTATTGTTGTTGTTATTGTTATCCCCCTCTACTAAACCATAGGGCTGAAAGTGTCAGCAGCAGTATCCCTCAAACATTCCTCTGCAATTTTCCACTGCAGCAAACCTTCCCACTGTACTGTTGCATCTGGGCAGCAATTACTTGTTTTGACCTTTGCTCTTTTAGTATGATCCTGTTTTACTGGTCCACTTCTGCCAGGACATTCCCATCGCAAAAGTTATCTCTATTCAAATGCTCACAGATGCCAATTGTGCTCAAAGTACAATTTGAAAGGTTTTATTACCCAATGGAAAACTTGGACACACCTCTTAGAAACAGGACTTTTATTCTGCCTGCCAGCTCCCTCATATAAGACCAAGGCCTTCCTTCCTTGCTATTATCTCTAGAGGAGAGAGGAAGGAAAGGGTCAAGTGTTGCTAACCCTGCTGCTGTTGTTGCTTCCTGTCAATGGGAGTTTTCCACACATTGCTGCCAGGAGAATTGTCCTGCATTGTGTTGCAATCTGTGTGTAGCTGCACAGTTGCTAGGGACTCTCTGGGAGGGGCTGCCACTGTTCCTGCACTCTTTGCACACCGTCGGTGCATGAAAATACAGCTGCTGTGTGAACAAGGGGTACCAACTCAGACTGTACAGTTGCTATCAATAGCATTGTAGCAGCCCTTCTGCTGAAGCCACAAGATTGATGTCAGGAGGTACCAGGTTTACACGAAACTCAGATAAACATTCAAAAGGCAGTATTTTATCAGAGTTAAACATATGCCAACAGTACACTTTTGTGATGTTACACCAGTGTTTGCAGAAACCAATAGAAGGCATTAAATTGGGGGGGGGGGTCACATTTGAGGAAGGATTCATTTGTCAGCCCTGCAATCACTGTTTTTTCCTCATCTATTGGCTGAAAGTACTGTAGGACCTTGCATCCACAATACATGTCTTTGTAATGAATCCCTGGCTAGCAACACACCAATGTCCTTAAGCTCGTTCCTCCAAATGTGATCTATTCAGAAATTCAGCAGCTCACAGGATTATCTGTAAACGAGGTAATAGGACAGCAAACTCAGGTGAAACTTATTTCATGGATGGTCAACACTGGTTTCACACAAGGTGTTAGAATCTGGGCCAAACATACTCATGTTCTTGCTTGATTGACTCTGCAGCATTTCCCATTTGTAGAGACATAAATGTGTGCAGACTCAATGGAACACAGTGAGATTCTAGGTTAGGGTGACCCACATAATTCACTCTGGCCTCTACCACTGGCTGAAGCATGTAATGCAGCTCTTCAAAGGGGCAACTAGGGGTTTGCTACAAAGGAAGATCCCTGCCCCAAAGTAGGGCTTGCAGTCAGCGCTGATCAGCTGAGTGGCACCAGCTTCAAGCCCTGCTTTTGGCAGGGATCAGCTGGATTACTGAACAGGAACTCCTGAGTGCAGCAGATCCCAGTGGAGCTCGCTATCAGCCCTGCCAAAGAACACTCAGAAGTGCACTTCAGGGCTCCCCAATGCTCCTTTGCAGTCATGTCTTTAACTGCCCCACTCTCAACAGTGTAGGATGTCAGGTGTATGGCAGAGGAAATGCCTCTGCAGGGCAAATTATGAGCCCTGTGGGTCGGAGGTTATCCATGCCTGCTTTATGGTAGTCTCCAGATCCCCATTTTATTTACTTTCATTTTTGCTAGAGCTCTGTAAAAATCCATAGCAAGAGACCTGTTTACATTGTTTATTTCTTTGGGATGGCCACACATTACCAGAAGGGGAAGGGCATGTGATTTCTCCTTCAGGCCCATTTCCTGTTGCTCAGAAGAGATATTTGAATCACAAGACTACCATGTAACATCAAACTAGGTAACAAACTACAAAGAAGGTTTCAGTCCAACATGAAGGTTTTGAACTTACAATGCTGGGAGAAAAAAGGAAGCTGATGGTCCTTTTTCTTTTCTTTTTTTACTGGATTATCACAGAGGGGTTTTTTTTAGCAATTAACAGACGTCTGCAGACATTTTCACCAAATGGAAGAGAGGCTTTGATGGCCAGCAGAGCACAGAGTACATGCAACTAAGGTGCAGGGAAACAGGGTGGGACTGCGCTGGGGGGAGAGAGAGACTCTGTCAGAGCCTGAGCAACAGAAATTCCAGAGCTTTGTATTACCAAAGACAGACAACTTTGACCTGACAGAGAAGGAAGCATCATCATGGCATCTTCTAGTCCAGAGTGTGCCCACAGCCGGGTGATAAATAACAGGAAATGGCACACAGCAGTGCAAGCTTGCTCTGGAAGTTGGATAGAGGGGATGTCATCTTCTCTTGGGCTGCCCCTGGGTCCTCACAGAAGATGCTCATCCAGTAAGCAAGAACCAGAGTGTCTTCGGCTTATTCCCAGCATGTCCCTCATTCCTCACATTTGTTTCATCCCTTTAAGAAAAGCATCCAGGGCCTAAGAAACTGCAAATAAAACAAAGGGGACGACGATGACAAGATTTAGAAAAAGTTTGTATATGTCAGGCTCACACTAGGACTTGTCTCTGGAAATGGTGGATTCAGTCCTGGATTGTATTTTCAGTGATAATCCCAAACACCTGAGATTAAAAGGGAGGACTTTCATGAAACACAGTGGAAGTTCCTAATGGGCATGAGCCGCATTGCTGCAATTAGCCACTGTCATACTCAGTCTTTCCCCCCAGCTTCCCTAAAGACAACTTGATCAGGAATTTGCATACAGGGCTATGCCCAAGAGAAAAGGATTTCAATGGGAATGCCCAGCATGGTTGCCAGGCCCAATTGCCCTGCCATCATCAACTCAAGACAAGCTGGATACGAAAACTGTATGGAAGAGGTTTATTCAAAGTCACAACATCCTGTTAAACCATCCTTGAAGATGTAGAACTTCTATTTAAACACACTTGTGAAGTGTTGGCTGAAACAGCTTAGGGTAAGTACCCACCCCAAAACTCTACAGATGCAGATGTGATAAAATACACATTTAAAATTTGAAAACACAACACCATAGATAAAATTGTCAATATGCAGCTCCCATCATCAAAAGAAGCAAGAAGAAGCAAAAAGCAGCAGTTTCAACTGCACAGACATAATGTAACTTAAAATGGAAGTGTGTATAAAAGAAATCCAATGTTTCTGGCCCCAGTAGTGAATTATTTTTTTGTACCTCTGTAGAATATACACATTTTGAAGTGACATTAAGATCAGTTCTGTTAAACTTAAAAACGATTTCTGGTGTTTATAATATGAATCAAAACATTAGGGTGACAGTTTGAGGTGAGTGCTGTAAGGGAAAGCAGGAGTGAAATAGTATCCAAGTGACCAGGTCCCACTGAGATGCGAAACAAGGACCCCATTACTTTCAAGCGATCTATAAGCTCCTTAACAGCCTTTCCCATCTAAAAGTTAGTGTGTTTTCAGTTAGCCTAACAAAAAAGGGTGGAGCATCTTTTGCCAGAGATGTAAAGGTTTGGCAATGGTCTCTGATCTCATACACCAGGAATCATCAGGTGATAACTGATTTTGTTCCCAGCATTTCTGCGTTTTTCTTACCCGCAGGTTAAAAGCTGTGCCAAAACTACATTTGACAGGGGAAAAGTTTTTCTAGTTAATGCAACCTGACACACAGCAAGAGCATTAAAAGCTACGTGGACTTACTGCTTTTCAGTGGTGGCCCCACCCTGACAGTTCCTATCCTTTGCCTTCACAGCCTCCTCGTGTTTGATGAATATTTTGCCAAGTGAATGTCTAATTACAAACCGTGCTTGGAACATCAACAGCAGTTAAGTGTTCATATTTGTATAACTAACTCAGTCTGAAATTAACACTTTAATTGCCTTATCTATGTTGTTTTTAGGGAGTGAGAACACGAGAACATGCCTTCTTAGCCAGAACAGTGAGAAAGAGGAGAAGCGTGGTGGTTGTTTTTCTGTGGCTGTTGCTTCAAGTGATTCAAATTTGAATGCAATTTTTTCCAGAAGCAGAACACATTTCCATTTTGATGCCACAAATAATGTTGATAACTCTCCTGGCGTCACTCACAACAGCAGAGACAACCGCATACAGCTAACTGTCTTAACATCTGAAGCTTCGAGTCAGGCTCTGCTGCAAGGTGTGCTGAATGGGAAGCATCTGGCTCTGGGCCTGAGGTGCCCTTCCAATATCTGCCTAAAGGGAGACCTCTTCACTGACTGCCACATTCTGTCGCAGACAAACAGCCTCCCACCTGTCAATTCCCCAAGCCTCTCCTTTCCAGCTTACAGGCATCCTAACAGAAAATGCCCTGTTAAAACAAGAAGGCTGATGAGCCGCAGAAAAATCCCAGACTTGTGTCCGCAAGCTGTTCCCTTTCATAAAACAGCGGCAAAAGTGCTGCTTCTAAACCCTGCAGGGAGCAGACATGACTTGGAAGGCTCGTCTGCTCCATCTGGCTGCTTGAGGGAAGGGCAATGGCCTTTTTACTTAAGCTAAGCTGAAACGGGAATCGCGCAATTAACTGCACTACGCAATTATCACAAAAGGTCAGGACCAGAAAGGTTGAGGACCTCTGGCTTCCCATGGCACAGATGGACCTCCGCTCAGAATTCACTGAATCAAAATGCCATTTGGTTTCATGCTGGCAATTCAGAATAATGGCTCAGGAACTTAGCCTTGCAGGTTTAAAACAAAAAGGTCAAGCTAGTGCTTCTGCTTCTTTTCTTAAAGTACAGCTGCATACAAGAGCTGATAAACACTGCTAACAGGAAATATACCATGGTGGGGAGACTTGATTTGTCTCTTTAGCAACCCTATTAAATATGCCCTTGTATATCGAAGTGTAACTGTGAAAAATCTAAGATATCAGAATATCAGAAACAGTGATTGTGGTGAATGTGGCATTTGTGCTGGACAACTAAATACTATTGGACTTTGATTTCACCAAATACAGAATGCTGACACCAAAGTCTATGGGATCTGAAATCTAACTTGGAAGCCAGCTGTTTCAGAAGCCAGCAGCATTTCACTTCAGTCTTAGGAAGAGCAAGGAGTCCTGGCAAGGCAGTAGCTCACCCAGGCACTAGCGTTCGAGGCGGTTTACAACTTCTCGGACGGTGGCTATAAGATTCTCATTATCCTGCGGGTTTGACAGGATGATGTTGTGCAGCCGATTCATGTATGAATCAATGGTGTCCATTGTGGGGATCTCTCCACTTCCTGCAAGGTGTAGATGAGAGAAGGGAAAAAGAAAACAGCGTGTTAACTGCAGTAGCCACAGCAAGCACTGACGCTTCACTCTTATACCAAACTGCAGGCGGGACTTGAATTCTCAAATGCTCCGTCAGTGCAAGGCATGTGGGATGAAGGTGGTTTGCTTGCATGGATACAGCATTTGGCCAACAGTAGGACAAAAGGGACTGCTTCACCACACTGTATCACAGGAGGGACTAACCCGTGGCCAACAAGTCAAATCAGGACCCCACAAGAGATTTCTGTGCCTCCCACCTATCACTTCTCAGATGTTTTCATTTAAAAAAAAATAGTTTTAAAATGATCACTGACTGCTCCCATGGCTCCCTTGATGTGATATTTGGGGTGCCAAAAGGTTTTTGTGGGTCTCTGAGGCCTCCCCAAATTTGTCCTTAAAAATAAAAAAGGAAAAAGGTCACGTCTCACTTTTAGTGCTTTGGCAAATCCCCCTTTTATATGCAGCCCCGAGCCTGAATGAAGGCAACTGCCCCTGCTGTGCTGCATTCCTATGACTGTTGACAGGCCTTCAAGGTCCAACAGGCACCTCCATTCAGCTGGCATAGAGTGAAGGCCTCTCTTCTGAAGTACTCATAGGCAACAGAATGGCACAACTAATTCAAAATTCAAACTTTCTCTCTCACACACATGCTCACACCATACACACGAGAGCAGGGGCAGCTCTCCACATTTAGAACATCCGAAAGCACCCTAGCCGGACATATAGCATGCAATCCCTGAAGCAAACCAAGGGCTACAAACTCCCCGCCCGAAATGAGGCTTCCGAGGTGAGCAGGCTCTGGAAAGGGTTTTCACCTGGCAGAGGGACTCCAGCAAAGCTGCTGCTGAGGGCCTGCCGCAAGGTCTCCAGGTGCTGCTGCAGGACTGTGTTGCGGCTGCGCTCCTGCACCACATCCACCTCCAGCTTCTCCACCGCTGTGCGCATGCTCTCCACGTGCTTCTGCAGGGCAGCATTCCTCTCCTCAAACTCCATGTTGGACTTGCGCAGCTGGCGCAGCTCGGCTTCCCGTGCTGTCAACCCCCCACCGGAGAAACAGATGACAAGGGGAGGGGATATCATAAGCAAGCCCTTCTGTCCAACAGTTGGCTATGGAGAATATTTGGTACAGTGGTGCCCCGCAAGACGAAAAACCCGCTAGACGAAAGGGTCTTCCGTTTTTCGATGCGCTTCGCGAGACGATTTTCCCTATGGGCTTGCTTCGCAAGACAGAAACGTCTTGCGAGTCTTGCGATTTTTTTCGCTCCCCCCCCTTTTTCTAAGCTGCTAAGCCGCTAATAGCCTTTTAGCCGCTAATCCGCTAATCCTTTAATAGCCGCTAAGCTGCTAATAGCCTTTTAGCCGCTAATCCGCTAATCCTTTAATAGCCGCTAAGCTGCTAATAGCGCTAATCCGCTAATAGGGTTGCTTCGCAAGACGAAAAAACCGCTAGACGAAGAGACTCGCGGAACGGATTATTTTCGTCTTGCGAGGCACCACTGTAATATCCAATAAGGGAAGCGAAATAAACAACAAGCAGGTATATAAGGATTAAACTGAAGGGGGCAAGGGAAAGGGGGAGAAAATCAAGACCTGGAACGTATTTGATGGCGAAGTAAGTCAGCCACAGCCACTGTTCCAACAGGCATATGCCAAGGTACTTTAGAGACCTCTTTTGACAAAGAGCACAAACAACTCAAATCCTCTTTGCCACTGAATTTCAGAAGAAAAGCCCCTAGCATCTGCTTGATTAATAAAATTCTTCCCATTCTCTGAAAATTATTTTCACCTTGATATAACTAAAGGGATAGGCTGCCCAGGGAATATCTCCAGATCTTGCTAGTACAAGTGTCTGCTGCCACTGCATCAAATGGAATGACATTCCAAGCCAGGCATGGCTGCAAAATCCAAGGGGAAACTCTCTCGCTGCAGATTTTGGTTAGCACCAGGATTCACAGCTGCTTTCATGGAGGAGAAGATGGGGGTGAAAGGGGCTCCGAAGAGTGGCTGATCTGGTAAAAGAACCAATAAGTCTAATACGGGAACAACAAAGGGGTGATCTCTTTTTGAACAGGACTGGGATATACAAAAAATCAGAACAAACTCTACACCTTGAGCCCAAGAGAGCATTAGTATAAAAGAAGTTATATTTTTTTCAGTCTTGAAGCTGAATGGTAGCTAACCAATTTTAGACTTCAAATTTGCTTCTTTAATTAAAATACTTCTATCCCTCCTCTTTGTCCCACAACAGTCCCGCCTCAAAGTGACTAAGGCTGAAATTCTATATGCACATGGGAGAAAGCCCCAATAAATTCAAGGGGACTTACTTGAGTAGATGCGCATAATGTTGTCACAAAATGAAACACTGCACAGAGCAACGTGTAAAATACCCTTTGCTCAACTCTGCCAGTTATTGGGTGGGTGGAATGGGGACACATGTCTTGTATTCTGCTCACCTTTACTGTGGTTCAGGAACTCCTCTGTGAAGATTGGAATATCAAAAACGGACCTCTCCTTTGTATCAGCTTCCTTCTGCATACAGAGAAGAATGGTACACACATCTTGATGATTTCTCAGCATAACAACAGACAGATATGCTGAAGGTAATAGCAAGTGAGGATTTCAATAAGCACCTCTCCCTTAACAGGTTTTAGGACATTCTCAAGATAGGATGAGATACTAAGATCTCTAATAAGAGACAATGCCTCAGGGTGCAGTCTTAAGGAACAGAAAAAACACGGATTCAAGTGAATTTCCTAGTGAAATTGGCTATTGCATGGAGCTTCAAAAACCTTAAAGCTTCCCTAGAGGAACAAGGAATGGCTTTTTAGCAGCTGACATTAAGTGAAGGCAACGGGCATTTTTGCAGTGGTTTCTTCATTTTGTCTATTAAGGGCCTCAGAGGTTAACACTCAGCTGAAAAGTTGAAGCTGTGTTACCCAGGAATAAGTCCCATTTCACAAAATGGGGATGCTTCAAAGTGAACATGCTAAGGATTGTGCTGCGCATTTGTGAAACACTCATCTCCACCAAAGGAAGCACTAAAGAGACCATTTTCAGTTATGGATATTAATGGGGGCATGCAAATGATACAAAACTTAGGATGGCACAGCACTCACTCTTGACCCACTTCCTACTTCACATTTCCCATGTTCATGTGATGAAAGTTACTTAAGGATGAGAATCAGCCAGATTTCCTTATGCCACTGTAACCCATAGGCTCAGTTCAACGGCGCCACAAGGGGAGGGCATTTGCTCCTACATCACATCTCTGGCAGGTGAAGAGCAAAGCAAAATGTTGGCTCCAAAGTGTTGCTTAGAATTATATGCTGGCAAGAGCTATTAAGGTGGCTTTATTGTCCCAGCTGGGTCTAGAAGCAATCTGGGTATGTGCATGTGTGAGAAGAATGCAAGCCAGGAAGGGGAGTGAGACAATCCTCTGCATCAGAGGCCCTTCTTCTAAGGAAAGCTCTTGTATTTACTCATGGTAACATCCTCTGTGTCAGTTCATCACTGGCAAGCAACAAAAAAATGGGAGCCTAGAAGCCAAAGCAACCATAATGTAGCAGAACAGTGATCAAATCTCTTAATGCGCTTTCCTCCCAGCTAAATCTACAGCACCAAGGCCTAGGGCTTCCCATTTGATTGGAGCAGAGTTTACATTTTACACCTGCCACATTTCTTCCCAAACCAAACTGTCTATTGAAGCCGCTATTAGCTCTGCTTTTTGCAGAGGCTGGGGGATGTGGTTAACTAGATCGTGACCTTGCCCACATATGCCAAGTAGAAAATGCCGCTCTCCTGTTTTCACCAACATCGTGGCCTTTTGTTTTTGAACACCTTAGGCTTTAAATGATGTGTCAAACATGATTTGGGGCCAAGCAAGAAAGCTAAGTGGTTAAGAGCCTACAAGGGAATTCTGGCAGTTAAAGCTCAGTACTTCACATCAGTGTATGCCTCATAAAAGGGGGCTTGGCAGAGTTAACGGAGAGCCATTTGGCAGACAGCCAAGATAGACAACGGCTCGATGGAACTTCAGAAAACTCTTTGTGTGTTTGCCTGAGCAAACTCCAAGACAGCTGCTGTGTCTTCTAATAAAGAAAGCTGGCAGTTGGGAATGCAGACACAGGCAGACATATGAGGGGGAGAAAGAGAAAAGGAAATCAAGAGGAAGCAACAGGATGTCAAAAATGTTTCTGGTATCACTCCCACCATCTGCCAAATCCAGACATTTCTAGCAGCAAGAAGCTCTTAAAAAATAATAATCAAAAAATCCTTGTGTGTTAACTGTATATAACTGCACAAGGCAGTTACATATGCTCATCAGCATTCAAGAGGATACTTTGGGAAACCCTCATTGAGTGTGCAGGGGACAGCATCTCCCCTCAAATCGGGAAGGTCCCAACCACAATTTGACAGCCTCTTTTCCCCACTTGGATTCAATACTGGAGCAGGGGAAAGGACAACCCTTTGGGAGGGGCCACTAAGTCACAGTCATTTGGACTGCACTAGATTCATCACAGCAAACTGTAGCCCTTCAGATGTGGCAGGACTATAACTCCCACCAACGCTGACCATTGACCATGATGGCTGGGATTGATGGCAGCTGCAAGTCCAACAATATACTGGGAACCACAAGTCTCCCTGCTTCCCTGCTTAACCACAACTTGCTGTGTCGGCCAAATCCAACAAACCGCAACTAACCTTATCTATAGTTTGAAACAACTCCATTTCAAACTGAGTTAATAAGCTACTGTCAGGATAAACCATAGTTTATGGTTTCAATGTAATATCTGAAACTGTCATCAAAAGTCATGCTGCAATAGAAGAGGGAAGTGGGTGGTGGTTGTGAGCCCTAGACTCACCTATCCTCATTCCCACTATTTATTGTGACATCTGACTGCAGCCTTTGTATACTGCTTTTCTGGATATATTACGCTCAAAGCAATTCATAGTATAGCATGACAAAAGCAACCAAATATATCAACATGTTAACAACACATCACTGTATATAATGATCTCCATATAAATAATTCAAACAGACTGATAGTAAAAAACAAAACACCATAATAAAATAGCATCAGCCTCTCAACATGCTGCAGAAATGACATTAAGAAGGAGGATGCAAAATGAGTATTAGCCTAAAGGAGAAATATGATGAAAGTCAGTCATGAGGATCTCCCAAGGAAATCTGGCACTAAACCTTGGGAAAGAATCACAAATAACTCCTCCTTCAGACTGGAGGCTGATGGAAGAAGACACTCTGGGCATTATAATTGCTGTCCCCAGGGTAGAGATTCTCTAAGTACAATCTCCCAACCCCCAAGCATTTAAGCAATTAAGCAAAATTGCTCAGTCTCTAAAAGGCAGAAAAATTCTGCTTAACGGAAGAGTGGTAATGAAAACCATCAGCACTCTTCCCCTATCAAGTGCATTACCCCAGCATGTAAAGGATCCTCTTGGGGGCTCCTATGTACTTAAACCACTCTAAGGCTCACTCCTAGGATTAAAATCATATGGATTTGATTACCACTTCATTGCAAAGGACTAATTTGTTCAGGCTTAGTGTCATTTATCATAAATTAGAAGAGAAACACAAAACCAATGCTTCTTTCATTGTCCTTAAAATGAGACAGAGGGACGTTTGTACCAGTGTCAGTCTGGAAAATAATTCTCTGAACTGCTAGAATAGGCCCCAGTGTTCAGGTTCCACAAATTATCCCAAACCTGATGACACTAGCAGAGAAATAATTGGGAGGTGGGGTGGAGTGGGCAGGGAGGAGTAACAAACACAGAAAATGTCAGCAAAGCCTATCTTGAAATTTTCATTATCATTTCCGATTTTGTATTACTCCCAGTCAGATAACAATTTTTAAATCAACACCAGTGCTCTTTCAAGCCACCTACCTACCCATTACAAAATAGGTGACTGAAAATTGTCAGCCTGCCCTAAACAATCCAAGTGCTTGCCTGGGACAATACCATTAAGATCAATAGGAACAGGATTTTTTATTTTATTTTATGTATGCATGGAAAAGCTACACCTTATTAACATCTCCGCTAGAAGTGAACTCAGGCTGCTGAAATTGTTTGAGAGCTTTACTTACATAGGCCAATGAAATGGAGCAAGTTGGCTTTGGGAGACTGCATAGAGGAGCACCTTGGGATAGAAAACAGTCTACCTAGCTTGTTGGTAAGAGTACTGTGATAAGAACAGCACTCCAGAAAAAGTACTAAATGGAGCTCCCAAGGAAACAAAGAAATCACGTATGCCGAGATCATGGCTTTATTTCCCTTTGTTCCTTGAACAGCATCACACAATTCACACTTGGATCATGTCACCCCCCACTTCTAGCCCACCCCACCCCTGGCCAAACTTAAACTACTGTATTATTTAAAAGTCAGGCTTGGCTGTATGAGCAAATTTACCTCATGGTCATGGGCAGCCTGTCGGGCTCCTTCTGGAAAAAACAAAACAAAAAGAGAAGCAAAATGAATTTTGAAAGAGGGAAACAATTTCTTGAGTAACTTTGAGACACATCCCGCAATTCCTTTCCTAGTTACACTATATATCCCTATGAGAATGGTTATTCCATGTTATTTGTAACTTTTTTAAAAAAATGACCATTGCTGTGATAGACAGAGACAAAGTTTTGTTTTAAACTGTTTTAAAAATTGTGTTTAAATATTGTGGAGCCCACCCTGGGGTGAAGAGAGCAGGTAATAAACAGTAGTAGTAGTAATAGTAATACTAACACTAATACTATTGCTAATACTAATAATAAAACAACAGGTCTATATATTGTCCAGGCCCCTGAGGAGGCAATGCATTCAAACATACATTTGTGCCTCTATATCATGGGAACTAGGACACCCAATGTCAGGGCCAACAAAAGATTCCAGAAGCAACCAGTCTTTAAGTGACTATCTTTAAGAGGAGCAGAGTGGCTGCACCTGAGTTTTTGTGGATTTGGAGCTGTCTATCACCTTCAGAGTAAAATTAGTCTATAGGACAGGGGTCAGCAATCTTTTTCAGCCGTGGGCCAGTCCACCATCCCTCAGACCATGTGGTGGGCTGGACTATATTTTGAAAAAAATTAAAAATGAATGAATTCCTATGCCCCACAAATAAGCCAGAGATGCATTTTAAATAAAAGCACCCATTCTACTCATGTAAAAACACGCCGATTCCCGGACTGTCCACGGGCCGGAGTGAGAAGGCGATTGGGTCGCATCCGGCCCCCGGGCCTTAGGTTGCCTACCCCTGCTATAGGAGTTCATCTGTTTATATTTATTCTACCTGCTACAGGTCAGGGAAACTCTTTCCTCCCTTGCTTTTAAAAGGGAGTTGGAGTACCTGTGCAATGTTTAAGGAATTCCAGTCTCCCCCTGCATACCTGCTGCTAGCAAGACATACAGGGCATGAGAAGTTGGTTTGGGAGATGGCGGGGAGAAAGAGGGTACAAATGACATATAAAATGATTTCCAAAGTGGTGCCCATGCTAATCGGTTGCACAAGACTCTTCGTTATAGATAAGTACCATATTGGCCCTAATATAAGCCGTACCCGAATTAGATAATATTTATTACGGCCATAGGCCCATACAGGTAAAAACAACACATAAGTGACAGCTTGTGCCATGGGGAAAAGAAAAAAACAGTCGCTAAAACACCACTATAACAATAAATACTATAAGATGGAAAGGCATGCTACGCCTTAATTAGCTTGTAGCGCTCCTTGGCGTCGCTTTTGGGAGAGGACAGCGACCAGGAACCTAGCCACTTTCAGGGTCGTGTGGGAATCCTTATCCTGCAAGATTTGGGCAAGGTGGAATTTTGGTGGGGTACCCTCTAGTTTCTGTATGATTGATCCCAACAAATTTGCCCGTGGCACATTGAACAGGGGGCAAGTGAACATAATGTGCTGGAGCGACTCCGGCGTCACCTTATCACATTCGCACGTGGCGGGGACTTGGCCCTTTGAGAATCTATGTCTCAGGACATTGGAGGGGAAAACGTTGAACCTCGCTTTGGTGAAGGCCAGTCTATGGGCAACAGTCAAAAGGGAGGAGAGGTATGATGGAACGCAATAAGTTAAAGTGATACCAATGTTCTGGGGCGAACAAACACCTCCCCCCAGCGTATAATTTTGCTGTAAGTCGATGTCATCCAGTCTTTGACGGATCAGTCTTTGAGCAGTGATTTGGTCTAGTTTTAGGGAATCTGAGGGAGAGATTCCATAACTCAGGAGTTTGGCATGAATTTTACTAGTCCAAAGGCTGGAGAATTCATCTCGCCATAAGCATTGGACAAGGTAATGGTTTGGTAATCTATGCCACAATGATAACCAGTAATTGAAGACTTGCTTCCACAGGCAAGTTTCTAAGGATGCGATCTTCAATTCTAGTCGCATGGCTGCGTTGCTTACGCACAGGGGGAGCATTAGGAGCCGACGTAGGAATTGGCTTTGCAGAGTCTCAAGGGGAGCAAGATCTGTCATCACGGCCCAGAGCGGGGCAGCATAAGCAAGCACTGCAACCACTTTTGCCTTGAACACCTTTAGGGCCGAGGGAACATGCAGAGCTCCGTCCGAAAAGAAAAATCGGAGGAGCGCATATGACAGGGTTTTGGCCTTGTTAAGTAGGTGTTGAATTTGAGCTTTCCATCCCAAGTTGTATTGAAAAATAACTCCTAGATATTGAAATTTTAGGACTTGCTCTATTTTTGCTCCACCAAGCTTCCATTTGTATAATCTCCGGCTTCTGGAGAAAATCAGAATCTTGGACTTAGCATGGTTGATGGTTAATTGGTTGAGTTGGCAATACGTGGCAAAGATCTTCAGAGCTCTGGTTAGTCCAACACGAGTATAAGATAGAATTACCGCGTCGTCCGCATAGAAGAGTGACTAGTGGGGTGCCACAGGGTTCTGTCTTGGGCCCGGTCTTATTCAACATCTTTATCAACGACTTGGATGATGGACTCAAGGGCATCCTGATCAAATTTGCAGATGACACCAAACTGGGAGGGGTGGCTAACACCCCAGAGGACAGGTTCACACTTCAAAACGACCTTGACAGATTAGAGAACTGGGCCAAAACAAACAAGATGAATTTTAACAGGGAGAAATGTAAAGTATTGCACTTGGGCAAAAAAAATGAGAGGCACAAATACAAGATGGGTGACACCTGGCTTGAGAGCAGTACATGTGAAAAGGATCTAGGAGTCTTGGTTGACCACAAACTTGACATGAGCCAACAGTGTGACGCGGCAGCTAAAAAAGCCAATGCAATTCTGGGCTGCATCAATAGGAGTATAGCATCTAGATCAAGGGAAGTAATAGTGCCACTGTATTCTGCTTTGGTCAGACCTCACCTGGAGTACTGTGTCCAGTTCTGGGCACCACAGTTCAAGAAGGACACTGACAAACTGGAACGTGTCCAGAGGAGGGCAACCAAAATGGTCAAAGGCCTGGAAACGATGCCTTATGAGGAACGGCTAAGGGAGCTGGGCATGTTTAGCCTGGAGAAGAGGAGGTTAAGGGGTGATATGATAGCCATGTTCAAATATATAAAAGGATGTCACATAGAGGAGGGAGAAAGGCTGTTTTCTGCTGCTCCAGAGAAGCGGACACGGAGCAATGGATCCAAACTACAAGAAAGAAGATTCCACCTAAACATTAGGAAGAACTTCCTGACAGTAAGAGCTGTTCGACAGTGGAATTTGCTGCCAAGGAGTGTGGTGGAGTCTCCTTCTTTGGAGGTCTTTAAGCAGAGGCTTGACAACCATATGTCAGGAGTGCTCTGATGGTGTTTCCTGCTTGGCAGGGGGTTGGACTCGATGGCCCTTGTGGTCTCTTCCAACTCTATGATTCTATGATTCTATGATTCTATGAGTTGAACAACGTGGCCCAGGGAGAGAGGGGAAAATAGTAGAAGTGAACAGCTGGCTTCGCAAATGGTGTAAACAGGAACGGTTTGGATTCTTAGATCACGGACTGCAGTTTCTTAAAGATGGACTTCTGGGAAGCAATGGGCTGCACCTCACAACGGTTGGGAGGAATGTTTAAAAACCATATTGTCAGGAAAGCAATCTTTATGGTCTGGTTGAAATACAAAGACTTATTTGAAAGTAAGACCCCGAGGTGGCTATCACCAGTGGAGGCCAAGGCGTGGAAAAAACCCAATATGGAGGCCGGCTGGCCGAAATATTGGGAATTAGTAGAAAAAATTGGTGATAATTGGAGGTTGCGGAGCTTTGAAGATATAAAGGATAAGGTGCAAGATTGGTTTCACTATGCCCAAATTAATGAGGTCGTTAAGTTGGACAAAAAAATAGGATTCCAGGTGGAAAAATCGAAACTTGAGACACAGTTGTTAGAACCAAAGACTAAGGTACTATCGAGAATGTATAACTTGCTGCTTAAATGGAATACACAGGATGAGACAGTTAAATCAGCCATGATAAAGTGGGCCCAAGACATTGGTTATAATATCATGTTTGAAGACTGGGAAAGGTTATGGACCACCGGTATGAAATTTACGGCATGTAATGCCTTGAAAGAGAACATTATGAAAATGATATACAGGTGGTACATGACCCCAGTCAAGCTTGCTAAGATATACCATTTGTCTGACAACAAATGTTGGAAGTGTAAGGAGGCTGATGGAACTTTCTTTCACCTTTGGTGGACTTGCCCGAGAGTGAAGGCCTTTTGGGAAATGATTTATAATGAGTTAAAAAAGGTGTTTAAGTACACCTTCCCTAAGAAACCGGAGGCCTTCCTCTTGGGTATTGTCGGCCAAAAGGTGTTAAAGAAGGATAGAACGTTTTTTATGTATGCAACTACAGCAGCAAGAATCCTGATTGCCAAATATTGGAAGACTCAAGATCTGCCCACGCTGGAAGAGTGGCAAACGCAACTGATTGACTACATGGAGTTGGCCGAAATGACCGCCAGAATCCGAGACCTGGGAGAAGAAGCTTTGGAGGAGGACTGGAAAAAATTTAAGAACTATTTGCAAAAGTATTACAAGTTATATGAACTATAAAATGACGCAAAATTTGAAATACTAGCCCCAGCAATGAGAGTGCAATATCTATGAAATTGGATAACACTATTGAAAGAAGCAAGTTTAAATGTTAAAAATGTTAATATGGAACGTTTTCAGAGCAACTGGACAATAAGGGATTTAAACTTAAATTGCAATTGAAAGTACAAAGAAACACACGAAACAAGGGTACAATTTGCTGATAAATTTATTGCTAAGAATGCATTGTGCGGGAGATGTGGGGAAGCTCGTTGGAATGTTGAAATAAGCAGTTGGAAGGGTATGATTTATTATTTTCTTTTGATTTTTCTTTCTTTTCTTGTTGTTCTTCTTTGTTGTTTGATGTCTGAAAAAATGCAATAAAAATATTAAAAAAAAAAAAAAAGGGGTGATATGATAGCCATGTTCAAATATATAAAAGGATGTCACATAGAGGAGGGAGAAAGGATGTTCTCTGCTGCTCCAGAGAAGCGGACACGGAGCAATGGATCCAAACTACAAGAAAGAAGATTCCACCTAAACATTAGGAAGAACTTCCTGACAGTAAGAGCTGTTCGACAGTGGAATTTGCTGCCAAGGAGTGTGGTGGAGTCTCCTTCTTTGGAGGTCTTTAAGCAGAGGCTTGACAGCCATATGTCAGGAGTGCTCTGATGGTGTTTCCTGCTTGGCAGGGGGTTGGACTCGATGGCCCTTGTGGTCTCTTCCAACTCTATGATTCTATGATTCTATGATTCTATGATTCTATATAAAAGGAGTGGGCAGCGGTAATCCGCTAGTCTAGGCGCGTGTGTACTTGGAGATGAGTTAACTAGGGGTGCTCGCATGTCGCTGATGAAAAGGTTGAATAGGCAGGGAGCCAATATACATCCTTGGCGCACTCCCTTGTTTATTGGTATCGAATTTGTGAGGTCGCCCGCAGGAGTAAGTCTCACTCTGGCAAGGGTGGAGCTGACTTATGAGCCATAGGAGTCTTCTATCAATACCCTGTTTCGCAAGTTTCTCCCAAAGAATATTTCTAGGAACGCTGTCAAAGGCTGCCTTTAGATCTAAGAAGGCAGCACAGAGGTTGCCCCGGGGAGGGGAGGAGTACTTCCGTGCCAGATGATAAAGAATTATTGCATGATCTGTTGTAGAACGTTTAGTTCTGAACCCTGCTTGTTCGTGGCCAATCTGGTTAGTCTCATCTACCCATCGCAATAATTTAGTCAGCAAAAAGCTGGCATAAATTTTCCCTATGATCGAAAGGAGGCTGATGTTACGGTAGTTTTCCGGCTCCGTTGGAGAACCTTTTTTATGAATTGGTACTATAATGGCCTCCTTCCATATTTTGGGGATGAGACCGGAAGCGTTGATTGCATCGAAGGTTTTGGCCAAGATGCCGGCCCACCATTTTGGGTGTAGTTTGATGGCTTCAGCAGGGATCAGGTCGGGCCCAGGGGCTTTGCCCGGTTTCAGCTGAGCTATTAGCTTGGCTATTTCGTCAGGATCGGTGGGAGGCCAGATAGGTAGGTGGGTAAACAGATGCATCAGATGGTCGGAGGGAGCATCTGCCTGTGAGAAGCATTTCTTCAGGAACACTTCCCATGTCGGTGCAGAGATGACTGCCCTTGGGTATTTCCTCCCCCTTCTGTTAATCAAAGACCAGAATTCCCTGGATCTGTGTGGTTTTGAAGCAGTAATCAAAGCCTTCCAACGATTATGTTGCCACTCACGCTTGGCAGTTTTCTGCGTGCGTTTGTAGACTTGCTTGGCTTGGGCATAACTAGCTGGCAGAGTAGATGCATCAGAGATCTTATAAGCGTACCCGAATATAAGCGGCACCTTTAAAATTCGGGGGGGGGGGAGAGAATACCCAAATACAGTGGTACCTCGGGTTACAGACGTTTCAGGTTACAGACTCCGCTAACCCAGAAATAGTACCTCAAGTTAAGAACTTTGCTTCAGGGTGAGAACAGAAATCGTGCGGCGCGGTGGCATCGGGAGGTGCCATTACCTAAAGTGGTGCTTCAGGTTAAGAACAGTTTCAGGTTAAGAACGGACCTCCAGAACGAATTAAGTTCTTAACCCGAGGTACCACTGCAAATGTGTCCCTAAGTCAATCCTGGGAAATGCAGTTTCTCCCAAGGGGTATTTCAATAGTTTCCCTGTGGGCTTCTTGGATGTGGCACCAGAAGGAGGTGGTGCTTCCCTGTTCCTGTCCCCCCCCCCAAAAAAAATTAAGAGTGTCAGCAGCAGCCAGGCATGTGGGGCAGGAAAAGGGGGTTTAGCGGGTGGGCAGGTGGGTGGGAGGGAGGGAAGGAAGGAAGGGGAGTATTTGGAGGAACAGGGGGCAGGCAAGGAGGCTTATGGGGAGATAAGGGAGGGAAGCTTGGAGTTTAGGGCTGCTGCTGGCCTCCAGTCCAAATTCAGATTGGCTCAAAAACAAGCCAAGTTATTTTTCACTTTTACAGACGGGATGGGGAATAGCATGGCTTATTTCTGATCCAACCCTGTTTGAGGAGGTGGGGGTCACCCATCACTGCTTCACAACCTATGGTCAGGCCAAAACGTTAGGGCTACATTCACAGTGAACAGCAGAGATATCTGTGCCTTCAAAACACGAAAAAATGTTGTGCTTAAAATACTTGTGTTGGCTTCAGGGCAAGTCCCATGGTCTGCAACTGACCTGTGCTTGGGGGCAAACTTTTGCCCCACGCTCCCAGGCTGCTCTCTGGGGAGAGGGAGCCGCGCCCGCTTTGTCGGAGGCCTCCCCACCTTTGTCCCAGCAGTTCAGGGGAGGCTTGGGAGCCATGGTCAGGATGGGCGCCCTTGTCCCCCCCCCCCCGACGGCCCTCCGGGGCAGCTGTTTCAGCAGTGATATCGTAAGGTCGCGAACACAAGCCGCACTTTAATTTTTCATGGTCGGAATTTGGAAAAAAAGTGCAGCTTATATTTGGACCACTACAGTAATACATTCATCCACATTGCAGGTACATCCTGTGCTCAAAGCAAAGAAGGGAGAACAAGTTAAATGGAGTGGCCGTGACCTGCTGCAAACCATTATTCAATACCTGTTAAATGAGAACAAAATAGACAGACTAGTCAACAGTTCTAGGAGTTACTTTTAAGGACTCCTATGCCATAGTTCAGTACCTTGTCGATGCGATTTGCCTTTCTGCCTGTCCTGTGCTTTCCTGCTGAAAACTTTGTACGCCTCAGTCTTCTGGTACTGCTCCAGCTCCCGCATGTAACGTTCCTTATCCCTATCTGCTTCATCAAGGTAGCGCTGCAATAAGAGAACAGATCATTCGTCCCCTGCTTCAGTGCACCAAGCAAGTCAACTAGGCAGGTCAACTTCTGCTGCAGTCTTTGAATAAGCAGAATGGACAAGTGTAAATGGAGAAACTGAATGCCAAAGGTTAAGGTCAGCTGAGGCTTCCTTCTTCTGTATGCCAAAGTCAAGGATACACAGAAAGGCATCTCTGTGGCTACTCCTCATCTGTGTAACATCCATCCTCTGGATATGTCCACTTTATGCTTTTCTGAATACATAAAACCATCCAATCTGAAGTGGCACTTACTTGCCCGAGTTAAGCCAAGACAAACCAATGTGAGTACACCTATATTGTAATGGGTCCCTGCCTTGAACCCTTGCAATGGGGTGGGCTATAAATGGAAAAGACAAAGAGATTGCATCTCAAGTTTAACTTCACATGCACAAATCACATCACCCTTGTATCCATATGGGATGAATCAAATCCAGAGTTTTAGCTTTCATAACAGTGATGAGCTTGAATATAGTTCTAAAGAAATCATATCAAATGTTGCCTGGAGCATTCTGTCACATTTGCTTAATGAACGGAGCTTGGTTGCAGAAGACTTCAAAGGGAGCTGTCAATGTGTAAAGAACTTAAACAGTAGACACAAGCTAGCATGGAGACGATTGTGCCCTTTTCCATAAAGGCTTCTCTGCCCTCCTTTTCCATTCGTTTTTAAATTTGCTCCAGGCCTCTCCTCTTATTCTACTTCATAGCCTTACTAGAAACTGGTGGTGAATGAGAAGAGTATGGGCAGTTTTACTTATTCTAGAGAGGCAAATAATTGTGGAGGGCCAGAGTGACTGCACATATCTGTATACAAGATGCAATACAAGAGATTCTGGTGCTGGAGGCCCTGGGGTAACCCTCATACACATACACCAATATCGCAATGCTTTTATGTAAGCCTACAGGATACCCCAGGGACGCGGGTGGTGCTGTGGGTAAAAGCCTCAGCGCCTAGGGCTTGCCGATCGAAAGGTCGGTGGTTCGAATCCCCACAGCGGGGTGCGCTCCCGTTGTTCGGTCCCAGCGCCTGCCAACCTAGCAGTTCGAAAGCACCTTCGGGTGCAAGTAGATAAATAGGGACCGCTTACTAGCGGGAAGGTAAACGGCGTTCCGTGTGCGGCTCTGGCTTGCCACAGCAGCGATGTCACGCTGGCCATGTGACCCGGAAGTGTCTCCGGACAGCGCTGGCCCCCGGCCTATAGAGTGAGATGGGCGCACAACCCTAGAGTCTGTCAAGACTGGCCCGTACGGGCAGGGGTACCTTTACCTTTTACTTACAGGATACCCCCATTTTGAATAAGCAATCAGTGGCTAATTACCATGGCTATCACTATCTTCAGAATCAGAGGCAGGATGCCTAAGAATACTGGTTGCTGGGGAATGACGACAGGTGGCTCTTCCAGTCATGTAAACCACTCTAAGATTGTTTTTAATAATTGGGTGGTGTATAAATTTTATGAAACAAAATAAATTTCTGCATAGCTGGGGGTTGGACTAAATGAACCTCAGGGTCCCTTTTAACTCTTCAATTTGTGATCCTATGACATAAATGCCACGCTTGTGAGCTTTCCATGGGCATGTGGGTAGCCACTGAAGCAGAATTGTGGCTTTGGTCTGCTCCAGCACAGCTGCTCTTATATTAACTATGTAGGGAGCAGGGGTTTATCTCAGTCAGCTCTTTGCTATTCTTCCTCTTTACTCCTTCAGACTTACCCTCTTCCAAAAGAGAAATCCTAGGCATATTTGCTTAAAAACAAATTCCACTCTTTTCAATAGGGCTTACTCCTAACATAAGCGTGCTCGTAACTGCAGCCAAAATCTCCCTCCCCACCTTGCTGCAAGTCCTCCACAACTGGGCACAGGAGCAATTCTCAAGGGTCCAGGTCGCAAGGTCTCTGATGACAGACTATATCCCAGCTTCTCCCTAACCAGGCCTGGGGTGCCCCACTTTCCGCTGCTGGTTCCCTAGGTTCTCTTGCTTGATGCAGAGAAAATGTGTGGCCACAGCTGATGTCAATTCTAAGCATTTACAGGCTGTGGCCAAGACAGGCAAACACCAAGGGGGAGAACAGGATCAGGCATGGTGGGAATGAAGATTCAGCTACCTCCTGGGTAGACACCCTATCACTGCTTTACCTGGGACAGAGCTGGCTCCACACTCAGCTCACACTGCAGCACCTCTTGGAACACATGCAAGAAGCACCATTTTTTGGATGTTTTTGTGGACAGGTTATTAATGATGTGGTATATGCTTACAATGGCATTCTTTATCTGGCCTCCTATTCCACAAACCATTCCATTTCTGCAGATTGCAAGTCCCTTGGGCACAAAACTATTATCACTAATGCTTCAATCCTACACCCACTTACCCAGGAAAGAACCCCATTGCTCTTCAGTGGTATTTGCTTCTGAGTAGGCAGCATGTGTAGGATTGCACTGTTAGAAAAACTGCTGTAGCCACTCTGGGCCCATGGGATATAAAGGAAATAAGCAAGCAAGCAAACCATCAGCCCCCTCTTCACAATCCCCATTCTGGGATGGATCTTTTGATTAAAAATAGACTAATGAAGCAAATCTTCCTACCCAAAACCCTAGTGAGTTTAGCTTTCTCTGCATCACGAGCAGCCCTTCTAAGTGGAAGGATAAATCGTCAACAGCACCCCCATTTTCAATATGCATCCTGTCTTTTCCAAGACACCAGCTGTGCTGATGAATGTACAGCATGAAGCAATTCGGCTTGCCATTTCCCCATTCCCATTACGGGCAAAGGCAAACTCTTGTCCTGACATACTTTGTGATTCTCTCCTGAAGACTCACAGGGCCATGTTACATTGCAGAGAAAATTTAGGCCCTACCTATCTAAAATGAGCACGTAATTTTCTAGAATCCCTCTTTAGTTACCTGCATAGACTTTCTGTTATCACCTGGGAAATCTCTGAAATAAAGCACCAAATTCCAGAAGAAAGGAAAGTAATGTAATAGTACCCGTTTCTCCTCAGGAGGGAGTTTGCTCCACTCATTGCCCAGCATCCTGGTGATTTCTGGGAATGGAACTTCTGGCCTCTTCGCTCGAAGTTGCTCCCTCCGCTCATTCATGAACCGCACGTAACCTGTTAGGGGAGATTTAGGAGCATTGCTATCCCTTAAGGGTTTCTTCCTCTTTCGCCCCTTGGACCAGCCTCCTCTCTTAGTTCTTTGCTACAAAGACAGGGAGAGGAAAGTTCAGTGTGAGACATCAGTTCCTTTAAAGCTGGAGGGAAGAACAACAACAAGTGGCCTCTGAGATGTTGTCAGACTCCCATCACCCATAGGCCCCAGGCAGCAGAGCCAGTGGTCAGGGGTGTTAGAATTTGGGAGTCCAGCAGCATCTGGAGGGCCATGGATCCCTGCTCCAGGTTTAAACCTACATTAGCATCTCAAATGCTTTTATCATCCACACACAGCTTCAGTAAACATCCCAGGTACAGTGGTACCTAGGGTTACATACGCTTCAGGTTACATGCGCTTCAGGTTACAGACTCTGCTAACCCAGAAATACTACCTCGGGTTAAGAACTTTGCTTCAGGATGAGAACAGAAATCGCGGTGCGGCAGCAGCGGGAGGCCCCATTAGCTAAAGTGGTGCTTCAGGTTAAGAACAGTTTCAGGTTAAGAATGGACCTCCAGAATGAATTAAGTACTTAACCCGAGGTACCACTGTACTCTTTTTCAACAGTCAAATTATGGTTCAGCCCAGCAGGCATGATCAGACACATCAGAAAATAAGCTGTGTTCAGCAAGCAAAGTTGTTAAGTAATGGAGAAGGGGGCATGGTGAGGATCAGATAAGAGTGTAAGGGTTAAATTTGGGCAGAATCGGCTTTCACTGGTAAAAGCCAAAATCAGAAATTCTTAAGAATTGTAGATAATTTTATTGTGGATTTAAACACGCAACCCCAAAAAATGTTTTCAAAAATTTCCTGCATGGTAGCCATGTTGGTCTCCTGCAGCCAAAACAAAAAAAAACTTGTGGCACCTTAAAGACTAAAAAATGTCAAAATAAATAAACCAAGACTGATATGGTTTGAAAGGCCCGATGAAAAGTTAGGAAGAGTTAAAACAGAAGATTTGGGGATAAGCCACAATTAAAGTACGTACAAAATGTACTAAGGTTTTAAAGATAGACAAAGCTGCCAGAAAATCATCTGTAATTTTAATAAATTTAAAACTGTTTGGGAATCCACAGCAATATTTCTCAAACAGTAGGCTGGGATGTGCCCATGGGTCTTGAGCCACTTTCAGGTGGGCCCCTGTGCCCCACCCACTAGCCGTGCCAAAGACTTTTGGATGGGCAAGCGTCTGCACCAGGAACTCCTTGAGTAGAGGAGGCCAGGATACAGAAGTGGGGGTGGGGGAATGTCTCCCGCCTCTGAGGGGAAGGGGCACAGGAGGTGTTGAAAGTAATTAGAAACTGAGATAAAAGTTTAATATTTTATTATTATTATTATTATTATTAAAGAAACAAACAGAGAATAAAAAGAAATCTCTTATAATAAGAGGAGAAGAAAATGTAAAAGGACCAGGAAGGAAGGATGAAAGAAACTGGAGTGGGGGTTGGCAGGGGGTGGGGTAAAGTACATGTTGGCTGTAAAAAGAGAATGGGGCAAGACATTACAGAAGATGAGTAAAAATGCTTTGTGGGAAGTAGGGGAGGAGGGACTAAAAGAAAAGTGCCTTCTGCACCTAAAGCCTCTGGATCCACAAATTATGCCTAAAATGGGGAGGATGCCACAATATCCCCAGAGTCAGTGACTGCACTTAGTTTGAGGAAAGTTGTGGCAACTCCTTGCCACAAAGCAAATGCTGTAGCAAAGAATTTAGCAAGTTCAGAAAAAAATGATGTTGGGAATTACCAGCTGATATTTGAGCAGCTTCTCATGGGTTACCTCTGTGTGACCTCACAGTTTGTACATGCCTGATGAGGGCACCTGGGAACTATCCCCTGCATGTCAACAAGTGGGTGCAGCTCCCATCGCCTTGTTGACGGGGGGTGGCTCTGTATTTCAGTGGCTTATTTCCACCCCACCAGGCTAGGACCACCTCAGCTGTGTTTGCTCTCCCCGCCCCCCGCCCCCGGGGCTTCCTGAGCTTTACTTTAGCTGGTGTAACTTATGCCAGCTTCCTAGGATTGCTGTAGTTCTATACTGTCAGCCACTCATTCAAGGAAGGATGAGGAATGACAGCATAACCTGTTTCACTGCAGGTGTTATCCATTTACAGAGGAGAGGAATGCTAATCAAATTCCAAATAATCAACTCTCTTGTTTTATTTTTTGAAGATATGAATGGATAGAGAATTTAGGTGGAGGAAGACGACTTATTCTAATTTCTGCTTACCTCCTCCTCAGGCCTTGGCTCACTATTTTCAGCTTTATTAGATGACTCATTTCGCAACAGTTGACTGTGTAGCAAGTCCTCTGCAAAATCTGGATTGTTGGCGGACTGGGAGGCACTGCCAGTGCACGATCCTTCTGAATGATTTAGCCTGGGGAAAAATAGGTAATTATGCAATATAGTCCCACAATTGTTAGGAAAAGGTACTTCCTATTTTACTCCCTGGGATATTGTGTGATATTGCAAATATCAAAAGTAGTTGGAAAGAAACACGTGCCAAAGAATGACAGTCAGAACACGGCATGTTGCACCTGCCAGAACAATTTCTCTTACAGTCTATCCCAGTTATCAAGTATTCCAACAGAATGATGTTCTAAAGCCCAAGGAAGATTCAACAGCCATCATGCTGGAGCTTGGGATGAAAGACTGAGCTTTAACCACTAGCTCTATCCCATTCCTTGGAGTGTTTATAAGAGGGCTTCTACCAAAAAACTACCAAAAAGGGCACTGTCAAAGGCAAAGCATCCCCTTAGGAAGCGGCCAGTGGCCATGGCTCATATACTCTATCGTCTTAAAAACTATGCAGGTTTATCTCATCACCAATACTAAGGAAATCTACCTCAGCTGATCAACACCACCCCTTTGGGTGCAGTTTATTTCAGGTATGAATAAGCACCACATGAAAACCACCTCTTCAACATACAAAGGGAAATGCTAAGTGTTTTTCTAAACAAGTATCAATAAGTCACTGAAGACAGAGTTTAGAAGTGGGTGTTTTAAACCAAAGCAAAGGAAAAATATTCAGCAAATCACCATTGTAGGTCCTATAGTGGACTATGTATGCATGAGCCAAAACTAGAGGAGCAGTTGCTTACCCTGATGGAACAACGTCATTACTCTCCTTTGAGCCATCATCTTCTGGAAAATGTGACGAGGGAGATGAAGTGGTCATTGGGTTCTCCATTACTGTTGCAACAGAAAACTGTAGAAGAATATTTCACATTACTATTACTTTAATATACCAGTTTGTCATCTGGCAAGCAGACTTGCAGTGTAATCTTAAATGTTTCTTCCCAAGTACTGTCTAGCAACTTGAGCAACATTTGCTTCTAAGAACAATTGTTAAGCTGCAGAACCCCAATTCAATCCAATCTCCCAAGTGGGATATTACTAGATCATGGATAACTGAGGCCAAGTTATCCCCATCCAGGAATGGCAGTAGCTGATGGTTCATCCATAACTGGAAAGAGGCCCTCTGTTTTACTGAGGCCACTTGGACCTCAAGTGACAAAGCATGGGAGAATTCTATGCACATGGTCCTTTAAGGAGAGTGCGACCCTATCTTCAGCAAGTCACCTTCCTATTTCCCAGATTTGGGAACCACCAAGCCTCAAAACTTTCATCTTCTCAAGATTCAGTTTCAGTTTACTGGCAGTCACTCGACTCTCACTACCTCAAGATCCCGATCCAACACCTGCACAGCATCCCCTGATGCAGGTGGCAAGGAGAAACAGAGCTGCAGTGTCATCTTTGTAGTGATGGAACCTCACCCTGAGCCTCCAGTTGAGAGCTCCTAAGAACTTTGTACAGATGTTAGAAAGCACAGGAAACTAGATCAGTGTGTGACTGTGCAGCATAATTGCCATGCTGTGGTCGAAACCACTGAGCCTCTTGGGCTTGCCAGTCAGAAGATCTGCCATTTGAATCCCCAAGACGGGATGAGTTCAAAAGCTCATGCACTCTGGTTTTCATCGTGGTATTCCGTTGCACCAGTAGCGGTTTAGTCCTGCTGGCCACATGACATGGAAAGCTGTCTGTGGACAAATGCCGGCTTCCTCAGCCTGAAAGCGAGATGTGCACCACACCCCACAGTCACCTTTGACTGGACTTAACTGTCCAGGGGTCCTTTACCTTTACCTAATGACCATGCAACTGAACAAGTGCCCTGCCCCTGCTAGAAATGAAATACATTTCCAATTCAAAAGTCATTTATTTTATCCCTCATCCACCAAACTCAATAGAGCAACAAGCTTATAAATACAAATCTGAATCCTGCTTCTACTTTACAGTCAGATAAACACTCCTCCCCCTTTAAATTCTGCGTCAGCTTAGAGCCACTGCCATCTCTGCTGGCACTCAAGCCACACTCAGAGTTGGACCTTCTGGCTACTTGGAAACATTTTGAGGATATAAAATGACAGCAAAAAAAGAAAAGAGGAAATGGCTAATAAAACAATTCACACCTATTTTATAGCAATTCTTTTAAAGAAAAATGTATCTACAGCAATTGCAGTCTGTGAAGAAGTGTTAGGCAGAATATGAGTGCCACAATGACATTTACAGATAGCCTTCTGCTCTGTTCATTTCAGGCACAATCTAACGGCAATGACACCTACCCAAGCCTGAGAGAGATGAAGGGGATGCCTTGCAAGCACATTCTGATGTATCTGCCCTCCATGCTGGCTTTGAAGATTTATTTCTATGCTGCAAGAAAATGCACTTTGTTGCTTTCAAACTGTTCAAATTTTGCTATATTATTACACATATATGTATGTAAGAGACAGACAGCTTAGGCTATAGTTTATGATGAATGCATCTCTTTGGATGCACAACCAAGGTATTCTTTGAAATAAGCCTTCCATTAATGCCCAGACGAGCAGATCAATGGAAGGTCTAGGTGGAACAGATGATCCACATCAATCTTGCTGCCTCCAGGGAGAGATGCTATACTAGCCATTTGCATTTTAGAGAAGAGTGATGTAAGGGGTGTCAGTTCTACTAACCAAGGACATAATTTGCAATGGATGTAAGGAAGCAACCTGTTTCCTAAGGGAGGCAACACAAACACTTATAAAGCTATCTGTAGATGTGATTCATAGTTTGAGAGCAAAAATGGTGGACACTACCAGGGGTGTTGTCATGCTTTTCAAGGATAAGGAATCTATTGGACTACAACTCCCATTATCCCTGACCACTGGCCATGCTGGCTGGGGCTGATAGGAGTTGGAGGGCCACAGGTTTCCCATCCCAACTGTGCACCACACTGCCATTAGACATAGGAGCAAAGCCTGTATTCACTGCAGACATTGTCAAATACAGGAGAAGAACCTAAGCTCTTAAATGCAATTCCTCAACTTACAATTTATTAATATTTTGGTTGAAACATGGATCATTACACTAAAAATTGAAACTTGGATTTGTGTAACATGGAGAGTTTGAGCTTGTTTTCGTACAATCCAATTTGCCCATCTATGGGGGAAGATCTTCATTATTCTGAGGAGCAAAGCTTTATACTCTGCTATGCAAAGGAACCATAAAGTAGACTTTTGTAGAAGAGGCTTCAATGAAGTCAAAACGCATCTTTAAAATGCTATCCTTCACAATAGGAAGATATTTATTTATCTCACACAAATACAGTTTAGCTGAACATGGCACAATGGCTTGGTATTCTGCCCCTTGTGTTCCACAATGGCACACCTCTTTTGTTTTACATCTGGGGCTCAGTCAGTGTCAAAGTTCCAACCTGGCTTTCAGTCTTGTAGAGGAAGCAGCTGGACATCAGCTTTAACACCACCCAAAACAGACCATATAAACACAGGAAGCTAGAAGAACACAAACTTCTTTCTTGCTTTAAAGCTTTGTTTTATTCAGTCCATATGGCTGGGCACTGAGAGTCAAGTCTCAGAAGTAGAGGTCAAATATTTGTGAGCATGCAGAGGTTATTAAACTATCCCAACAGGCAAGAAAGGAGAGGAGGAAGCAAGTTCCCACTGGAACTGAAATGGATAAAAACGTGCACAGGATGCTGTGTCAGGGGCTGATCTGCTAGCCTTGGGACCTCCAAATCCCATAGCTGTGCTGACAATAATCCTTTTTTCCATCACTCCCAGGTAGACTTCAGAGTTCCAAAACTGTAAGATGGCTCACAGAAACTCAAACATAGGTAGGATATATTTATGCATTTATGCTTTGGTAGGACATTTATGCATATTTTTCTGGTTGGAAAGTCTTGTTAATGGGTTAGTCCCAGCCAGATCCTCCCTTCCTTCCTGTATACTTTTGTCAGGATGAGAAAAATATTGAGCTGGATTCCAAAAGGAAGTAGCACCTTTGCCCTTCCAACCTCTGTTACAGCAGGAAGTCGCAGGTGCAAATAGAAACTTGAACATTTATAGAAACCGCGGTGTTAATAAATGGGGATTTAAAATAAAAGGTTACTTGGTGATCCCCAACTTTTAAATCAATATTAGCATGTGCCACCCCAAATGGACAATATCGTAATTCAAAGTATTTAAAGAATTCATAGGGAGTCTGCTGCAGAGTCAGCACTAGCTGATAAAATGCAGCATTTGACTCTTGGCTTTTCAATAGATATTGCTGTGACATGAAGCTAAAAAACCAAGCAACTTATGGAAAGGAGCATATGAGCCAAAGCTCTGGACTCAGTGTCATAACCACAATTTAGCAAATCAGCATCAGTGTATGTGTGCGCACTGTTCCCAAGACAGTTCACAACAAAGAAGCAGTAAATACAAATTAAAGCTCATAACTTTAAAAGGGCTGGAAGAACAAAAATAGAGCTGATTGGCAGGGAAAGGATTAAAAAGTAGGCCTCTCTGGGGTAAGTTCCATAAATGGAGCACCATCACATCCCTCTCTCTTATGTCAGATGGCAGAGGCACCTAGAAGGGAGCTATAAATTTGCTGACATCACTGCAGGTTGATGTGGGAACTCAAGTCAGTAAAGCATGAGACTCTTAATCTCAGGGTCATGGGTTCAAGCCCCATGTTTGGCAAAGAATTCCTGCACTGCAAGAGGTTAGACTAGATTGCCCTTGGGGTTCCTTCCAACTCTACAATTCTATGATTCAGGTATTCCTTCAGATACTCAGTCAAAAGTGTAGACAACAAGATTTGAATCAGGCCACAATTTCATGGTTTGGGAAACACCAGCCTTAGTCCCAGGTGCTGTTGTAGGCTCTCCAATTCATTTTCAGGGTCTGTCTAAGTCCAATTCCTTCCTTCCGCCACCCACAATTCACTACTGGGAATTTTGTTTTCCTTTTGACAGAAATGGATGAAATTTAAAGGCTATTACCTCCATACTGGATTAAATTGGCCAAATTACAGGAAAATGGGTTCAGGGGCATTGTTTGTTTGTTGTTGTTTTTAGGAAGCATCTCTATCTTCTTTCCTTTGGGATAGAGTACAAGCAAGGTTGTCCATTTTGAGAATTCCATCTCCCCCCACCTGCTGGACCTGCGGCCACTTGTGGGACTTCCAGACCAGGACCTGCCTGCAGCTGAACAAGTAGGGCAGGGACCAGGACCCTGGGCAAGCAGGAGGCACGCCAGCTAGGTGTGCTGGGGCAGCTCTATAAAGCCTGTCTGCCCTGGAGGCAGGGTGCCCCAGCAGTGCCACCACTGAAGCGGTGAAACAAGGCGTGGGCCAACCCCCTTGTGCTACAATTATGGTTTTAACAGGAATGAGTTTTTAACTTGGGTGGGTGTTTTATTTGGTGGGGGGTTGTTTTAAAATGTTGTAAGTTAATTTGGATTTTGTATCTTTATTTGTGGGCCAGGGTATCGTTTACGGGCTTTTGTTGGGAAATGTTATTGGTTTGTACACATTAGTATTGTTAAGTGTTTTAATTATTTTTACTACTTTTTACATTGTACTTTGTCCTACAAGTATAGGGCAGTATTATTATTATTATTATTATTATTATTATTATTATTATTATTATTATTATTATTATTATTTCCTACCATTTCCAAAGTGCCACAAAATGTTGCTTGGATTCCTGGATGTGATCTCTACATTCCTAGTAACACTAGGAATTCCTAGTAACATTCCTAGTCCTTGGCTACTGACCTATTTTTGTTCATAAGAGTTTCAGTAACATTTGATTACCTGGTTCTGATCCTTTTTGCAGATTGAGACAGATGGCAGCCACCAATCCTAGCCTTAGGCCTCAATTCA